TGCATCGGAATAAAAGGATATAAAAAAAAAAAAATCCCAAGAGATCTTGGATCCCTGGGAATAGTGGAGTGAACCTCACACAGCATCTTAACTCCGGATCTGAGATCTGAGAGGCTTTGGAATTCTCCATGTTTATATAATTCTAAACAATAGTAGAATGTACAAATGCACATAAGATGGCTTAAATGATTTGTATCCACATCCACTGATCAATCCTCGTATCGCCTTCTGGTCTCCGGTTGGTCCTTTCATAATCAACAAATCGCAACCAAGTCCAAATAAACCAACGGGCGTTGATAACATAGCACTGTCAAAGGTTCTAGGCCGAAACTTTGACTAAACAAAGAAGAAACACATCTTCGTCGCCAATTCCAGGCCCCTTCTCGTTTACCCAAGGTCTATAATATTTGAACCTTTTCCATCCCCTATTCACGCTCCTTATGACTGCATGTAAAAAGACTTGTACTCAAATAGTACTCATGTTCTATATACCGACTGTAGTCCAAGTATTTCTCCTTCTGCGCATTTTGTGGATTTTTTCCAATAATAATAATCCTGTTTTATTCTTCGTACCGAAACAAATGTCTTAAATTTTCGTCCACATGCTCGTAAAAATCCTTTAGGATTTTTGTATTTGGACTAGATTTATTGAATTATTGGACTTGCTGCCGAAAGATTTTCGAAGATCTCCCTTCCCAAACATTTCTCTCCATATTTCATTGGTAAGTAATCGAAGAGGAAGCATTGAGATCAATTAAAGTGATTTAGATCAATGTTCTATCCTCAATGTTTTTTAAAGAACAAATTTAGTACCTCTACGGTTCGAAACCAGTGTATAGGTTCTAGATATACTTGTCGCCTTAACCTACCTTTTAGAATAATTTTGTCTTTTACGACTAGCAATCAGATTGGTAATTGTCACACAAAGTTGTGCTACCGTTTGTATTTGCTGGCATATTGATACCGTACTTATGTCTTTAGAATAGAACTTACATTCCATCATTTGGTTTCTTCCAAAATAAATAAATTCCTAGAAAATGCCATCTCTTCTTTCTGCTTTACTTAGCTTTAGTTTCTCCGGAGTCCTTCTAATAGCTTTCTCTCAAATTGTAGTAAATTGAATTCATTCTGCCTCGTGATCTGGAAGTGGCCTGGTCTATCCTAGATCTTATGTCTGTTTTCATATTATTTATTTGTGTTTTGTATTATTTTATTTTAACATTTGAGCGTTTTTACATTTATCTAGAAATATCTTGAGATTTCTCTATTGTCAAAATTTGAGCATTTTTTTGTTTCTTTTTATGCCTTTTGATTCTTATCTCGCGTATCACAGGCGTTGTCTCAGTAGTCCAGTTTACATGTTTTTCTCATTGCTATACCGCACATTTCATCACGTACACCTTTCAAGCTGCTTCCTTGTTTTAAGCTATTTCTTTGATTTTTCGCTTCGCCGCTCTATGGACTTATTCGTGAAGCATATTGTTCTCACTCCACACAGTGGCCTTGGTTATATCAGACTCGTCGATAAACTTTCTAGATTCCTTCCTTACCCAGAAGAAAATTCAAAATCGATAATGCCATTAGTTGGAAATATTTACAAGATATTAAAACCATGACACGCTATTTAACATACCTATTATATGAAACCATTAATAAACATAAAAACTACAAAATGTTATTTGAAGTATGTTTTACTAAATTGATCTTTTCAATAATGTTGAAGGGACGATTATTAAAATAAACCACACATTACAAATATGCAATCTTTAAAATACCAACATTTTAAGCAAGACATTACTTTTTTAAATGCTGCATACAAGACAGGAACGAACTGAGAAAAGTTAATTATTCACATAACTAGAAGAAACAAAAAAACAGATAAAATAATAAAAATGTAAAGGAGACGTAGGGAATATATACGACAAATTAAATAAAAGCACATGAAATCTCAATATAAAAACAATACAAAAAACAGAATGTTTTGAGTAATTAAAATTAAAATGAGATGGATATGTAAAGGATAAAGTGAAATGAGTGAAAGAAATTTTCTTACCATTACTTTTGTGGCATTTTAATCTGATCTTGATTATAACAACAATTCATCTTATATATTACGTGTACTGTGTTTAGTTTCCGCTTTCTGTTAGTTCTTCACTTTATTAGTAAATTTGACTAAATTTATAAATTTCATAAAGTTTTTTATATTTGTTTTTCTTCAGTATGTGTTCATAGTAATTTTATAATTTTTCATAAGCGTACAGTCTGTAAGCCCAAAATTTTTGTTTTACTTATCTTTAATAGTAGATCTCTACTTGTGTACTATATTGACGCACACACTTCATTCTTTACCGCCTAGATTATGTCTACCATCAACAATTTTTAGATAATCATATTTTTTCTGACGTTGTTATACTTTTTTTTCTGAGTTTATAAAAAAGAAATAAAAATGTATTTTTCACATTAAGTGATTCTATAATTAATAAATACTCCTTTCCTTATTTATAGGATGTGTGTGTAAATGTATATATATATGTGTGGGTGTGTATGTGTGTGTGTTTATATATATATATATATATATATATATATATATATACATATATATATATATATATATATATATATATATATATATATATATATATATATATATATATATATATATATATATATATATATATATATATACATGTATGCTTAATTATGTATATAATATTCTTATGTATATAAATTATATTTTGTTTTTCTTGTAATTTTAAGGATTATAATCTAGTTTTTCATTTATATCTTATGTAGGTTTTTTATGAGGTTATGAGGACTCCTTTTCTATACGGAACTCAATAAGTAATGTACTATTTTAATCTATGTTATTTAAACGAATTTCTTTAAATAATTGCAATATGATTTTTTCTAAAGTTAAGTGTAAAGCTTAATTAATGCCACAAAATGTGATCAAATATTTTGACCTCAGGTTGACTGCTTTATTATTTTTTTTTTCAGAGTGCCCAATGCATTTTCTGATAAAAATAAAAATAATTGTTCAGAAACAAGAAATAGGACAAACTTTATTAAATAAAAAATACAGGTTTCTACAAAATATATCTTTAGTCTCACTTTTACTACGCTCTTCATTATTTAATTTATTTTATGGGTTTTGACGTTAAGATAGAAAAGAAAATTGTTATTAATGTAAACATTACAAAAATATATTCATATTTAATTAATAACCTTTTTACATCCGACAATTTTTTTTATTTATATTTTTTTTACAATTAAGACTACAGTGAATCACTGAATTAATTCCAACGAAATCCCAACTGATCAAGCCCGAATTAAATATTCTGGACGTATTCATTTTTTTTTTTTATATATATATACCTAAAAACCTTCAACATCTGACCCACAAGCTAAGTGGAAGATAGATTTTTTATGGTTTCATGTCTTTAGGTTTCACTTGTCAAAGTTGGAAGGAAGGACACGCCAGGCTTTCCAGAGCAATTCAAGCCTACTCTATTTTAATAAAAAAGAAATGTTTCTCCTACAATTCTTATTTTTATTTTTTTTTACAGATATATACAACAGAACTGCAAACAAATTAAAATGATTCATTGAAATGCATTATATTTTAATGCATATGCATAGAATGGCAGTATTTAAAAATGTTTAATTTTATATAATTTTTTTGTCTTAAATTTTTGAAGCACTGGATATAAATGCTCGTCAAAAATTTAAATATGTTCAATTTTACCTGTCCATTTTTTTTTTTTTTAAATACCTTAATTTATTCTATATCCATAATTTCATATAATATATATACTTGACAAAAAGGTAAAAAGGAAATGATGAAGAAATAATATACAACGAAATTTTGTATTTTGTATTTCACATTTATTTTGTTTTTTTTTGTTCACAAAATTTTCTTATGCCATAACAAACGACACTTTTTTTTTGTATTTTTCCATCGATTATTTCATTAAGTTTCGTGTATTATAATTCCACATAATCTCTTAAATCACATGACAATAACAAATACAGTATATATATATTTATATATTATTTATAGATTATTATTAGAGATGGTGGGAGGTAGGGAGTGTGAGAATAGGGTTGGTCCTTTACGGAAAATTGCACTCCGCGCGACAAAATCTCTTTTTCCAGTGCTTTGGCGGGGTATTTTCAGTTCAGATATATATCGTATACCTTGGGATACTGAACAACTATTTTTCAAATTTCTCCGAACATCAGTAGGACTGTGAAAATTCTACATATTTTCGAAAAATTACCCGAAAGAGCTTGTCCTTCCTTCCAAAGCGCCTGGAGCTGAACGGCGGGAAAAGAGAAAACGCGCGAAACCCCCGCGCTTCAAAAAAATCTAACATCTATGCGTGCATCACTAGTTTGTGAATATTCCGTGTTTTATATATTTATATTTATATATTTATATTATATTCTTTAAAACACTATATTTCTCGTTCACTCAATTTCGATTTTTTTTTTTTTGTTTTTTTACATTTTACTTTTCTTATATGTCATAGCATATCACAAAAAAATATTAACACTTATATACAGACGAGGATGACAGAAATTTATACAAAAGATCCAGTCGAAATATTTAAATACATTTGTCTACTCCCTCATTCTCCGGATACGTCTGTCACCCCTCGATATACGTCAAACTCTGAATAAATAACTAAAAAAAATATTTTAAAAAAACACAAGATATACAATGTGGACCCCATCGGAACGGCGTTTTGAGTTTAAATAAGTTTTTTTTCTTGTACGCTTTATTTATAAAATAATTACGCATTTTATATACAATATCCTCTGGGGCCTTGGAAATGGATTTAGGAACAAAAACTAAACAAGGAGATGTGTTATGCGGCAGAGCCGTTGCGGTTGCCTTAGGAACTATATACAGGAGATTAGGCATGTACACGACACATATTGCTAACAGAGTATCAATATATATAATACAGTTTGTACAAGGGCTTTGTGTTTGTAGCTTATCCAACTAGTGCCGAGTGTTCGGCGAGCATTACTTGTTGTATTTGTCCGGCCAGCCGTAGTCCGACCTCCACGTCGCAGCCTGAAACACAAACAAAACTCATCAGAAACTCGCTAATTACATATTATTTCTAAAATAGGATACAACATAATCTTTGTGATAACATAGCCTGTATTTCTATTGATAGTTCTAACTGAGCCTTATCTCGTAGATGTTGGCTCCTAAAGAAGTGGATGCGATGCCGAGATGTAGATAGCAGTGCACTAAAAATATCCTTTTAGGAAGTATGAAGGGGTTCCTAAGAAGTGGCATATTTAAATAGAGCGGGAGTTACATTTGTAGGAGCTATCTCGAAGATAATCTCTCGACATCGGAGCCAAAAGATGCCAGGGCAGGTAAGATGGTTCTATTAACTGGTCCCGATATCCATCTCAACAGTCCTTAGTCAGGACGGTCCGTTTGAAGACGAGTTTTATTTTGAGGGGGCATCATCCTCGGCTTAAGGGGGACAACATGGATATTGCCACGGCCTGACGGATTAATTTTAGACTAGATCATATAAAATATTATGAATGCTTACATCGCCTCATTACGACTATTAAAAATGTCTAGTAACTTGTAATCCAAGATATGAAAATTAAAACTTGCAACCTTGCTTTGAGAATGATCACATATCTCGAGCTTCTTGCAAAGTACCTATGTCGTGTAATTAAGTCGTCCTAACCTTTGTGAAGGAGCTAAATATACAATGAATCTTCATCGTTGGTTCCGTTACGACCCCGAATATGCAAATTTAGAAGTGTCACGACAATCATTAGAGATTGTCCCACAACCTCAGCTGTTCTGTCGCTAATATCCTATCATATTTAGTGAAATGATCAAATGATTTTAATGCAGCACAATATGGGCAGTATTATAAACATTTTTCGAGGACAAATTGACTGAACAAAAAAAAGTATTCTGTGTCAAAAATCGTTTGAACAAAGGAAGTAATCTGATAAAACATGCCATGACATAATAAATATTATAATGATTACAAAAAGAGGGATTTTTTAAGCCCCATCACTGTTCTCAAAATATCAGCAAACCTAGCACTTATACAGGATTTTCTAGTAATGATTAGAAATAAGTTCTAGGATATTATAGCTGAGCTAAAATACAGGATTCAACAAAAAAAAAAAATACGCTGTTTATAACGTCATAGTTTACTTCAAAATATAATAATTAATACAATACCCCCCCATTGTTATAAAGACCAGCTTTGATGTTAGATGTAAGGAATCGTGGTTTTGATACCAATAGTAAGGAACATCTGTCAATGTCTATATTGAAACCAAACGCCCTGCCCAAATCTCAGTTTGTCTCATTAGTGAGTAGTATGAATCTTAGGTCAGTCTTGTTTATTATTTAAATCTTGATGGGTCTTACGAAAATGCAAGAACAACACCAAGACAATTTACGGGCAACAGTAGTTCTAGCATATCCCTAATAACATTTAACTACTTGCATATTGCGGAGTATACGTACCATGTGGGACGAGGTGTGCGGGAGGGATATCATGGGGTGGTGCTGGTGGAAGGGTTGCCCCTGGGGCTGGTACCAGTGGGAGTGCACCCCGAGGCTGCCCTGGAACCCGGGTTTCTCCTTCATCATGTCGGACATCACTCCCGTCAGCGAGAGGCAGGAACCTCCGACCACCGAGCCCTTCTTCTTCTTCGACTTGGAGCTCAGCTTTCGGTTCCTCGTCTGGATACCCTCCTTCTTCATCGTAAGCGGTCGGTTAACCTGCAACAGAAAAAGAAAGATATTGGTTAGCTAATGGTTTAAATCTATGGAGTGTCCGAATGGCCACAACTACATAATTTTAATACCGGGGTTCCCATCTCTCCCAATTGTTGATTTTTCATTCATTTCATTGCGGTCCACATCTTAAAAATTATGTGTTTTTTTTTTCTCGAAAGACGCATAACCATAATGAAATTTGCGCTCCATAACAATATAAAATGTGACCCCTTAAAGAATTTGAAGTCGCAATATGCTCAGTATTACAGTAGTATACTATTTCTTGACCAACTTTTTTATTAATTATCTTCTCGAAAATAATTATTTAAAAAAAATAATATCAACGTCATTGGTAAGGTAAAGGTAGAATTAGATTTGCACACACTAGTGATGTTTATATTTAAAGTTTCATAATAAATATGAATGATATATCGTGAATTATGCGCTGGTGACAGACAGAAAGGAAAAACAAAACGGGACTAGAAAAAGGGCAGATTGATACTTTACACTCACAATAAAGCGAGGGCAGAAGAGTTATCGCCAACCGGTTGGCCACAGAGCCATAAAAAGGCACGTACCAAAAAGGCCGAATATAAAGAAGGAAAAAATATTACCGGAGGGAATCTATCCCGAGCATAACTCTTTGACACGGCTCCCTGGGAGAGAGTGTTCTTTGTTTTAAAATATTTTTCTTTTCTCAATGATCTATATGCCCCCGGAGGGAGAGGAGGGATGTCTTCGGTTTTGGTCCATTTTGGAAGGACGGGCATTGAACGGCTGGACAATTTTTATTTCGATTCCGGTTGAGACCGGAGTTGACGCTAGATCCATCTTGAGCGACGTCTCATTTGAATAGGGTGTCCCGCTGGGAGCATTAGTGGCTCGAATAACTGATATCCCTTGTAGGCATTTTCTTTTTTCTCTACTCTTTTCTATTTTCTTTTTCTTTTCTTTTTTTTATTTCAATTTGTTTTAGACCTGACCTTTGCGGAAGTTTTGATGTAGTTGTTCTCCCGATGTGGAGGCAATTTGTCCGTATTTAAAGTCCAGTAAATCATATCCCTCCACGTGTCCGCTGGCTGTTAATATGCAAACGCCAGGTTCTATTCCTTTAAGCTCTGCTCTCTCGGTAATACCCGTCTTTACATATCGGACTTTGTTATGTCATTAATGAATCGTCTCCTTTGTCAACCAATGGTATAAATTTTAATAAATTTATATAGCAGCAGGGTATTAATGTCATATTTGAAATAAATTATATTAATCGTATAGTAGCTATAATAATATCCATGTATGTGTAACCACCGTGTTTAAGAAAACTACAATGTTAAAGACTAAAAAAAAATAGTAACCATTCCGTGAATACACTTTTTAAAATTCAAAACTGAAATGAAATGAATTTTCGATTAAGTTGGAAAGATAACGCGTGGTTTAATATTTATTATTTTAAAAAGTGAAACAATAAAATTATAAATTATTCGTAGTAGTCGTAATTAGAAAAAAATAATAAAAAAATTCAGCGTCTTTTATAAATTTATTAAAAAGAAATAAATCTACTAAAAATAATAACAGTTTTATAATTTTAATTTTGTGCGTTAAGAAACAACATTTTTTTTATCTAGATGGTTCTCTTTATTTTTCTTCTAATTTATTTGTGAACAGTTTTTCTTTTTTTTTTTTGTCAACATTTTTTCTTCTAATTTATTTTTATGAGATATATGTTAGGAAACTAATTATTTAAGAAAATAATAGAAATTTTATTAAATAGTACATAACTATAATATGTGATAAAAATTAATAGGTTTTAATAGAACCTCGTGAAGAAAATAAGAATTAAATAAAAATTTTCTTTTATCAGGAAGATTCTTTTTTATTCTTCATATTTATAATCGTACAAGAAATCAAATGGTACATTTGTTGCTTCCAAGATATTTCTAAACCTAATTCTCTTGAATTTTTACTACTTATTATTATAGGTATTAAAAAAGAAAAGTTCATAATAAATTTATTGTTTTAAATATTAAAACGAAATACATTTGAGATGTTATTTGAGTAAAAAAAAAAAAAAATATCTCTTAGGAGAAGGAGTTTAAAATAATAAATTCTGAACTGAATTTTCAATTAATTGCATTTATTATTTATTAACTTCAATAAATCAAATGAAAAAACAGAAAACGAGTTTTTCTTTAAACCCATCAATATTCTTAATATTAAAAAAAAAACTTTTATAAATTACAATATAGTCGGTCAAATGCATAAGTGGTGTTTCTGCACAATTTGTTATATTGGAGTTTTTGATTTTCTGTAAGACTTTCATTTCAATTCAAGATTTTCATTTACGCCATTTACGAAAATACACCATGAAAGCTTAGCGATAATAATCAATAAAATCAAAACTTAGTTATTAGTTTTATTAACTATTTTTAATATTTATTATTATAAGTATGAGTTATTGTAAAAAAACAACACAATTTCAAAACGTTTAAAACACAATTCCTTATGTTTTAACCCCTTCGTCAGAATGAGAGGTTAAATATTTATCAATTATATGAATATTGTTCATAAAATCATTTTTTTTTTTTATTATAATGAACCTTATTAATTTTCCTTTTTTTTCAAGGAACAAATTTACAATGGAACTATATCGTTTTTAAAATGTTACAATTTCCATTCCCCTTCCTAAGCAAGTACACCAGTGTCCTGTTCTGCACTAATTGCTTAGACATATGACAGCGCCTAGGTACCAGATCCGGCTAATAGTTATGATAATTACTTAGTGAGGGGAGGAGGAGGGGAATTCACCCTAATTAACGGGTGTCCGTTATACAGAGTACCGCTGGAAAAGCTGCCATTCTCTTTGGCTTTTCTTACAGTCCCGTATGCTGGAAGGCTGGAGTAAAACGTATCTGTACAGTACGTTATGTATCTCAGGACCACAGGCGCATTTACGGGGGGGGGGGCTTTCGAGCTGAAGCCCCCCTCCCCAAATGGTAAAATATAACCATGTTTTATAGAAAAAAAAATATTAAAAACTACGTCTTAAAGTATTATTGTTCATGTAATTACATTCAATATGACTTCAAGAATCACTAAGACACCATGCCATATGGGTAGTTAGTTTATTTCTTTCTTTTTTCAAATTAATTATCGTTATATATATGAAGAAAAAAATCCTTCGGGCTGAAGCTCCCCCCCAAAATTAAATTCTGAATCCGCTAGAGCTCAGGACAGCTAGATTTTCTTCCTAATAAAAGAATTAACGAATATCACAAAATTCCTAACATTATATTTCAAAAGAGTATATTTATCTTCAGTCAAATTTACTTGAACTGGAACTGTTTACTTCATACATATGCCAAAGTTATCATTAAAAATGATCGTCATTCTATTTTGTTGTCGTTCCTCAGTCTTCAAATCATAACAAACCAAAGTCCATCTGTAATTTAAACAAAATAGTTTAAAACAGTTCTAGTTACAGCAAAATACCACCTACGGACACACTACAAAAGATTTCACCATAACTTAAATTGATATAATAATAACCTCATAGAAGATATGTCCGAAAACATTCTTAGGAGGCTCAAAAGAACTTGGATGTGAGATCTCTTCGCTTAAAAATTATCCTAAAATCAAAGGAAAAGATACCGCTAGGTATTTCTCTCCCTCGTGCCGATCAATGCTTCAACAAGTAGTATTCTTTCCGAAAGCAGACTCAATGATTGCCACTACTTCTGACAGTTGTGGGTTAAGGAACAATATTAAAAAAAGACAAAGTCCTCGTTAAATTAAAGGAATTTAACCACAGATAATTTTGATAGAAAACAGTATAACCAGCATAAAAAAATAATGTATTCTGATACACTAACAGTGTTGTTTGAAGTAGAACTTTGTTGGTACGCATTCCCTCAGCAGAAAGGAAACGAACGACATATCTCTGAAGCGGCTGGTTGAGAATTACGGACGAGAATGCGGATCCGAATGAACTTAATAAAATTGTTTCCACAATCAAAATGAAAATATGCTCCTCATTATGCTTTGACTAAGAAGCCGTACTTCCTGAACCCATTACCCAAGAGCTTAGCATTAATAATTCCGTGCTAGGTATCCATAATACTGTTTGGAGGATCAAACTTGGTCATGAATCCGAATTATGCTGGGATCTCAATGGACAAAGGCTCATTGTGGACGAAAAGAATTCCTTCTTGAGAATCAAGCATGAATCACGGTTCCACAATCTTTAATAAATTAATTATACATTGAACGCGGTGGTTATGAAAGAGTTTTAGGTGAATAATATTACTGAGAATGATGTTATATTTTAAGAGTATGCTAATTTCATTCTTGAAAACATATTTTGTTCAAAAAGTAATGACCATAAAGCTCCATCTAATTAATGAAAGCATCTCGTTTGCCGTCCTTGGTTACACACCAAAAAATGGTAATGTCTAAATAAAAAACTGAAAGGGATTTGCTATGAAGCCTGAGAAAAATGTATTACACATGTTTTAAGTCATTCACACACACTGGTTTCCTCCTAAAACTAACCCATGAAGAGGATGAGGAAATTGTTAATTTTTCAGTAATAGTAAATATTTTAGAAGCGGTTGTTTTAAGCTGAAGTAGTGTTCTTAGAAATCGAATAACTTTTTTGAACTTCCTCATCATGTGTATTTAGTTATTGATTGGTTATGAAAAATAAAGCAAAGGAGTAATCATATTTAATTCCTTCTTTGAGTGTCTAATATTTATTTTTAAATATTTCAAAACACATTTTTCCTTTCATTCCAATTGGTCATGTATGTTATGTGTCATTCAATTGGATTGATCATTACTCTGAATACATCAAAAATGTGATCGGATATTATGTCAGAACAAGAATATTGTAAATTCTAGACTGCCAATAAAATAATAAAAATAACATAATAAAATCATAAAAACATACTAATAAAATAAGACATTCACCCCATGAAAAAAAAAACATTTTTCAGAATTTTAGACAAGACTTTTAAAATTTTATCAACACCTATATAAATTTATTCTATTATCAAAAATTTTCAATAAATAAGGTTCAATTATGAACATTCAATCAATTATGATCTTCAGCTATATAAAGCTGGTAAATAATCTGTTTTATATAACGTATTTATATTTAACGTGAAGTTGTCAGTTTTTTTTTTTTATTTTGTAAATAAATGTTAACCTTTTCCATACAAGTTTTTTTTAGAATAAAACGTCATTTATCTGGTTACTCAAAACATGACAAAGCCATGTAAAGAAATTATATTCGAAGCAAAAAAAAAATAATTTCGAGAATAATCGCCCTCCGATTTGTGTGTATATTAATACCTTACTATTTTAGGAGTTGCTTGAAATAAGTCGCAATTAATCCTCACCCTTCTTCACCTAATTGCTTCTCCAATTATCCCTAAACGCTATTAGCACTCTACACAGATAGGACCACACAGATCCAGATAGAAGAGGGCAGGTGGAAGACAGAAGAAGCACTGTCCCGAACTAAATGTGCCGTGGAGAGCTGACACAGAGCTAGGCTGTCTGTCTCCATGCTCGCTTAGCAACACATCTTCCCTCTCCTTCCTAAATGTTTGATTAACTGCTCTAGATATCTTTGAGGTGGTCTACACTAAACCTATATCTCTGCTTCTTAATTGATCTTGAAATAATATCCACTGTTATGGATGTGATAATCGGTATGGGTACTTGAGAAGATCTTAAATGTTCTATCACATATAGATGGAAAATATTTTTATCA